CTTCTTGAAGTTGCTAAGCTTGAAAAACACTGGGCTAGAAATTGATTTTAAGTAGGGGGCACCTATGGATTGTATATGGCCCCAAGCCCACACTCTTGTTGCATCTCTAGAACTTCCTAAGGTTTTCATGAGGGATAGGAAAAGCTGCCAAATACTCATGCTGCAATTTTCTGCCTAGTCTGGGGAGTAAAAAGTTTGCTTAAGACATTGTTAGATTTCGCATCCTTTCACTTTTTTGAGGAAAGAAACGAGTGTCAGAAAGAGGGGAGGGCTGAAAATGTAAGCTGCACTCCCTCCAGTGAGGCCATTGTGTGACTGCTATGCTCTGCAACCGTCAGCTGTCATACATACGTGGATCCACATATATTTATAACAGTGTGGCCCAGGCCACAAAAAGATGATCAGGGCCTTTTTGCTGGAGTAGTTGTAGACTGCTAATAATCTTTGAGGAATCAGTGTTTAAATGCTTAAAACCTTGATGGAATCTGGTTCTTTCTTTCTTTCTTTCTTTCTTTCTTTCTTTTTTTCTTTCTTTTTCTTTCTTTCCTTTTCTTTTCTTTCCTTTTCTTTTCTTTCAACTTATCCCCGCCCATCTCCCCCCAATGGGGGACTCCGGGCGGCTTATAACAGATTAAAACAATAAATATATACAGTAGTTAAAATTTATAAGAGAACACATTTACACAGAATAAAAGGAAGAGGAAAGGGGGCAGGAGACCGCTTTTAGGGGGCAGGCTGCTAAGAGATTTGTCTATGTAAGACAGATCAGGATCTTTGGTTAGGGCTATGCAAAGCACCCAAAAGATGTTCCTTGCAAAGAACGTTAGCACAAAATAAGGTGCCTCCTCGGTGCTAAAAGTGGCCATGTCCTTGGAAGGTTTATTGAGCTGCTTCAAAAACTATCCCTGGCTGTCTAAACAAGGATGCACAGCCATGGAGCTTTGGTGGTGGTCCCAGTAGAATGCAGGAAGGCTGTCTTGAGACAGCTCTCAAAGCAGCCATGTCAGCCTTCCCCAGAACACTGATTGCTTAACCTTTCAAGGTGGTTTGCTTGTACTAACGGGCTCTGCCCAGCTCTTGTAGCTCTTCTGCAAAGCTACCAAGAAATCCCTCATAAGCTGTCTTCGCTTCCTGCGCCAGAAGGATGAAATCATGCCATACTCCAGAGGTGCATTTCCTGCAGGCTCTCAGTACCCTTTGTGGCTTCTAGATGCACAAACTCCTTTTGCTTGTTTTGCCCTATTCTTCCCAGACTTGTTTCCCATGGTGTTGAAAGGATGCATAAACTTAGACAGTGTTGTTTAGTGTAGCTTCTCTCCGCAACATTTTCAGGGGTGGAGGTGGCCCTGTGTGAAGTATTACAAATAATCCCCAAGACTCCATTCAGGGTAAAAAGTCATCTGTTAAGATGGAACAAAACATATCGTTCATTCTACAATGGAAGGAAATACATATTTCAGTATTTGGGGTTTTTTCCCATCCTGTTTCCTGGATTAGAGATTTCAGCGCATGAAAAAAAAAATGTAAAGGAATATTCTGTGAAAGTGGCCACGTCCTGAGAACTGGCGAAGAGGCTGAAACAAATGCGGTACTAAAAACCCTCCTTCAGCAACATTCGCGATACTGAAATGCCGCGCCGGGCCTCGGGGCGGTCAGGCTGAGCATCCTCAGGCGGGGCCGTCTCGGCAGAAGGCGGGACGCAGGAAAGGGGAAGGGACCGCCTGATCCACCCAGCCGTTTCCACTGGCAGAAGAACGGTCGGCTGCGAGAGGTCGCGCAGAGAGACGCGCTGCGCTCCGCGCTTTCCCTCCGCCGGCACCGCTCTGCCCGCCCGCTCCTCAGCCCCAGCCGCACCGCACCGCAGCGGAGGCGAGCCGAAGCTCCGCGGCCGTCCTTTTCGCGAGGCCGCCCAGAACAAGGCGCAGCTCCGCGGCCCGCCATGTCCGCCACCCACGGAGGGGACTGGCGCGCCTTGGAAAGCGCGCTGCGCAGCAGCCTCCAACTCCTCCGGGACAAGTGGGGGCCTCGGGCGAGGCTGCGGGGAAACACCGGTGGCACCCCGGGGGAGGAGGAGAAGGAGACGGCAGGGGCGGCCGCAGGCCCGCCCAGCGCCCCCCCACCCCCCCCGTAGGCCGTCCCGGCCCCCCCCCACCCAGGACAGACAGCTGCTCGCCGCGGTGCGGTGGGCCGGGGAGGCGCCGGGGGG